GCTCGCATTGTGCACTCGAGAAGAGATGCAGATTCGAAAAAGTCAACGGTTCAAATCACGTCAAAGTAGAGGGACTGAGTCAAAAAGAACTTTAGCACAAAGGTAAAAGTGGGAAGGAACGTTGTTCCTGCCCCACGACGGCGCGGAGGGTCGCCAGAGATGGTCCGCAAGAGGACGCTGACTGCCGAGTCGAGTCATTCCGTTCCAAGTCAAACGTTGTCCTCCGAAAGCGATGCGGGAGGAAATGGGCAGTGAAAAACCGACTCGAGCAGCCAAACCGGGACGAAGCGGAAGACTTTGGCGTTCAACTTGCACAGGTGGATTCGCTCACGTTGCTCGGCGACGCTGACGTCTCATTTCTTCCTCCAAAGCGACGCGAGTTGTGCCAAGTGAGAGCTTTTTAACCGGGGCCATCCACACGTTGGAGATTGCGCCCCCCCCCCCTTGTTGTTTACAATGGCATGCGGCTCTTACTACAGTAAGAAGCAGCGAGTCTGGGGGTCGGCCAAATTGGTTGACCCGCTGGCCTTCTTCCGCGCAGCATTCGGCCCCTGCAACGGCCTTTTGCAGGCGGCTCCAATTCCAAGTCGAGTTCTTGGAGGCTCACAGGCTGACGGTTCAAGATGACGCCTCATGACGTCATTGGGTTTGTTTTTGTTCCTGTGGTCCAGTCGTCCATTTTTGTATGCCGCGTTCTCCTCGCTTGGGTTGCCGGTGAGGAATTGAATCATTTCCCGCGGCACGCCGGCAGATCTTTTGTGGCGCGCGCTCGGTGCGTTTCTGCGTGCTGTGTCAACAGAGGCTCCGAGCGCAAAGGTTTCTTTCTTTCTTTGAACGCCGTTCGTCACCAAGCCGAGGGCTCTCTGCGATTGCCTTCGAGTTCGGAGGTCAACTAGGCCTCCGCTAAAGCTTCGCGCCTCGCTTCCTCCGACCGTTGCCGAGGAATCGGCTCCAAAACCGTCGGCCGCGACGTCCTCTTCTATTTGTCACGGCGTCGAACGATGCGCTGACTGACCGCGAGCTGCCGACTACTCGCGGAAAGTGCCGCCATTTCAAGAAGAGCCAAATTGTCGTGTTGATTTTCTGTGTGGCGCTCGCTCTTCCAAATGCCATTTTGTCCTTGGCAGGCGAAGCCCGTCTACGGAGGATGGTTGCTCCTCGCGCCGGAGGGAAGCGATTTTGACAATCCTTTACACCGAACTCGGGTAAGTGGCTTCGCAAAATTGTCAAAGTGTGTGAAAAGCTTGACGCGGGCGCCGCGGTCTGTCGTCAGTCACGTCGCGTCGCCGGCATCGGGCGGAAACCTCGCATGTCCGAAACGATGACTTTTCAGGCGCCCCCAAACGATGATGTCGGGGAGTCCGGCTTCCCTGTGCCAACTTGGTCCGTTCCTTTGCAAAATACGCCGCTTGACTTCACCGAATCGCCGCCCCGCGCTTCGAATCCGCGAATGTGTGGAGCGACCGCCGGCGGAATTCCTGACGTGCCGAGAAATGTTGGCGCCGCCCCCCCGTTCTGCCGCTCGCATTCCTCCACCTGGTCTGAAAGTGACCTTGACTTTTCTGTCGGGGAAGGAGAAGCAAGTGGTCGGGAGCCGTCGCGTCACGTCTCCCTTGCGCGGCCACTTTGGTCTCCTTTGAGCGGCCGTCGGTTCCAAAACGCTCGCATTCTGCGTTCATCTGGCGGCAGGGGAGGAATAGAATCCGCAAATGTGTGGAGCGACCGCCGGCGGAATTCCTGACGTGCCGAGAAATGTTGGCGCCGCCCCCCCGTTCTGCCGCTCGCATTCCTCCACCTGGTCTGAAAGTGACCTTGACTTTTCTGTCGGGGAAGGAGAAGCAAGTGGTCGGGAGCCGTCGCGTCACGTCTCCCTTGCGCGGCCACTTTGAGCGGCCGTCGGTTCCAAAACGCTCGCATTCTGCGTTCATCTGGCGGCAGGGGAGGAATACGCGCCTCGCCTCTTTCGGAGGGCCGCGGGTCACCCCGACCCCGGTTGGCCATTTTCTCCAAACTCTTTGACTGCGCTTGGAAAATCGGGACCGGATTCAAAGCCGCCGTTCCTCATCCTGAACTGTTTCTCGTGTCGGTTCGTCATGCCGAGCTTTGTCATTTCTCTCCCATTTTTTTTTTTTTTTTTCCATGCAGAAATGGCAAAGGCGTTTTTTCATCCTCTACGAGCACGGTTTGCTCCGCTACGCGCTGGATGAAATGGTGAGTCAAAGCAGCTTTTTGCCTCCCACCTTTCGGGCTTTTGTCGCACGCGCCGTGAACGCTTCCTCCCAAAACCTCGCTTATCTCCCTGCGGATATTTCCGCTGTTGTTTCGTCCGCCGCGTGTGGCTTTCTCCCGGGGGATCCATTTTGTTTTTTTTTTTCTCGTCTTGAGACCGGCAACCGAAGCGATCCGACGAAACAATGAGCTGCGAGGGTGTTCAGCGGCCAAAGTGGCATCGCGGTTGCCGCGAAGGCCGCATTCGGCGTGAATAACCGAGAAGAATCGGAGTCTCCCGTACTGCGCGAAAAAAGCCGCTTTTCCACGGCAACCGACCGGCGCCGTTATTTCAGGGGCGCTTTGTTGCCAAGGGCGACGCGTTTATTCCAGCAACAAATGGCCGCGGCGCGTATCGTGTGGCGGCGGCCACAGCGGTTGTTTTTCCATTTGATCTTTTTCGACCGAGCGCCTTCGTTTCGAGGCCCCGACTGAAGGCAAACGGGACAGAGCGCTCGGCAAGCGTCGCGAGAGCTTCTTTGAACCGCTTCGGCGACTGACGGGTAACCGCAGAGATTGTCGTCCCCCCCCAAAACAAACCAAAAACTGAGCACGCATCCTTGTCTTTGTCGTTGGGGTAATCTGGACCTCCCGCCTCGGAATACAAAAGCAATAAATGTCAACCATCAAACGGGGTGCAGACGTTTGAGACCGGCGGCGAACGAATCAAGTGAACGCGAACGGTGCCTCCGGCGGCCGCTGCCGGCCGGTGCCGTTCTTGATCCCGAAGAAAAGCCGTGCTTCCGATCCCCATTTTTCAATTGAGTTGATGTCGAAAGAGGGTCCAGAAATGACAAGAGCGCTCGCTTAGCGGCTTGGCTGACTTGCGAACGGGCGGCCTTTTGCGGCGCCCGTCCGCATCCGGCCAAAGTCTGGAATCGTCTCGGGCTCCCGCCCGCGTTGGTGCCGGACTTTGTCTTCCTCCTGCGCATTCCCCCCTCCGACGACGCCGGCCTGTTTTCAGGCCGCATGCAAGCGGCGCTCGCGCTGCCCGCCCACGTTCTCTGCAATCTCGCCGCCCGCTCGCAACCGTGGGACGCGCGTTCGCCGCCGTCCGTTTGAAGCGACGGAGGCGCCGCTCGAACCATCGCTCCGGCGGACGCAGAAACGAGCGAGCCCGCGTTTTTGCGTTTGGCCGGCTTCCGCCTGTACGGCGGCGGGTGACTCAAGCCGCCTCGCGACGAGTGGCGTTGTCGCCCACGTGGGTAGCGAGCGTTCTTCAAAAGAGGAGGCTCGGCGCCGCCGCTTCTCACTCTGGGCTCAAGATGGCCGTCCGAGTCCATCTCAGACGGAAGAATGGCGCGTTTTCGGCCCTGCTCCCCGAATGCGAGCGATGAGCAACGGATCTCTGAACGCAAACGTTGTCAGGCGACGGCGGCGACCCGGCGAAAGTTGGCATCGCGCCGCCATCGAATCCACGCCCGTCGCCTCGTTTCCCGCTCCCCCCGGCCCAAATAGTTTTGTCTCCGCGGGAGACGAGCGCCACGCCGCCAACGAGCGGCTCCGCTTGGCCGTTTATTTGCCGGCGCGTCCCGAATCCGCCGAGTCTGAGAGTGACAGGGCTCTCAGGTCAAGCTGACGCCCGTCTCCCCTTTTGCCATCTGAAGCGGGCCCTCGCCCAGCTGTCGTGTCGTTTGTCAGCCCGCCTGTCAGGCGCGGCTGTCGTGCCGCCCTCTTGAGGGCCCTTCCTTCATCTTGAGTCCCCGGGCACGAGCGCTTGCCCCCCCGCTCCCTGTTCACCCGCGTCTCGTTGCCAATTGCAAAAAAAAAAAAAAAAAAAAAAAAATTAATAAAATGGAAATGTAAAAATAAAGTAAAATGTAATAGCTATTTTTTAAATCTATTTTTAACAATAAGTAGAAAAAAATGCAAAAATGTATGCTTTATTGTTATGACCATATAAACATTTATTTTTCAACAATACATTGCAAAAATGTAAAAAAAAAAATCATTTAAAAAAATGGCAAACAAATGATCGCTTGGAAATAAGCGATACTAAAATATTTCAGTTATTTCTACTGTATATTTACAAAATAATTACAAAAACATTCAGTAAAATGTCATTCAAACAATGTAAAATTCAAAATAAAAAAAAAATCCATGAGAATTTGAAAATAAAAGGCGACATAACACTGAAAAACTAATGTGATTTAAAAAAAAAAAAATTTGCCCTATTTGGATCAGAAAGAGGTATGACTTTTCCAACCTGGCCAGCTGTTTGTGGAGCTCCAGGGCGTGTTGCTTGCATTGGGCGTAGTAACACGTCTGCGCGTCCACAAAGTCACTCAGCCTCTGCATGTGGTTGTGCTGACAAAAAAACAAAAAACAAAAACAAAACACCACAACACAAACAACCCACACGTCACTAAAACACTGTCAAGTGTTGTTTCTGGGCAACACATATGTTGGGTGTTCCAAACACTCACGCAAGACAATCCGCTGTCCCGCTGGCTCGGAAAAATGACTTACAAAGCGGTTGTGCGTGCGTGCGTGCGTGCGTACGTACGTGGGTGTTGCTAATTTCTCCCAGAAGCTGTCGCGTGACTTCCGATTGCCGATGGAACAAAGACTCGGAGATCCTCAGCTCCGTTTCGGCCTAAAAAAAAACAACAACGGTAAATGACAAGCGCATCCGGAGAGGATTTGTCACTTTTTCCACAAAAAAAAAAAAAAAGGCACAAGTGATCCGCTCGCCGCCCAAAGCTTTTCCATTTGCTGATGTGAATAACTTGAGGCAGGTGCCGGTCTGAAGACCCGAGGCCCAGTTGACGTGGAGGCGGCCGGCATTCAAAGGCTCTCGCGGCCTCAAGCGGACGTCCGCCGCGCAAATTCTGCCGCCGCGTCGACGGCGGACGTGCGAAAAATCACGTGACGGGATACGCGAAGGCGCGAGTCCCCGCCCTCTGTCGCAACTTGTCCTTTTCTGTGGCGTCTTCCAGCCCGCTACGCTTCCCCAGGGGACCGTCGACATGAACCGCTGCTCCGACGTCACGGACGGAGAGTCCAGGACGGCTCACGAGAACTCCTTGTGCGTCGTGACCCCTGAAAAGGAGCTCTTCCTTCGAGCCGAATGGAAAGAAATGATCAACGGGTAAGCGGGCTCGGGGCCGTCGACCTGGCCGGGCGAGCGTCGGATCGCGAGTCTTTTTGTCGGATCGAGTTAGCCGAGCCTGAAGACTCATCTGGGGACCGACCGAACTCGACGTCGTCTTGGGGAGCGGGAGGCGGAAGGGTGGCGTTGAGGCGAAGGAGAAGGGAGAAGCGCGGTCCGCGCGGGCGTTGCCCCGAGAAACGGGGGCGGAGGCGTGAGCGGCGGCGGATGGGAGAACAACAGCGGTACCGGGGAGAGCGCAGGTTTGGGAGTGACGGACAACCGGCTTGCCATCGCACCTCAGCGACTTACGCCAAAAGCGTCGCGGGAGTCGGGGGGGGGGGAGATGGTGACGCTGCGATTCTTGGCCAACACGCGTGGATGTGCTCTCTTGGCGCCTTCCAGATGGCAGGAAGCTCTCAGCGTGTACCCCAGAAGCAACAAGCTGAATCCCAAGAAGAAGCGCAAGGTGGAGCCGCCCGCTCAGCAGGTAAGACGTTGGAGGGAGGCGCGTCCGCTTCGGCGTCGACGTTCGTCGCTCCGCCCGCGGTGTCATTTGCCCCTCGAGGTTCCGCCTCGTGACCGTGCCGTTGACCCGTTGGGCCCAGTTAACGGCCTTGACGTGGCTCCTTTGGGCGGGCCGCCTTGCTCGAGCCCCCAAAAGTCCCAATTGGCTTTTCCAAAGATCTGTCTCGCTACTTTTGGTCCTTTCTAGGGTAGATGTCGCTAAAGGTCAGTCACTACTGACCTACTACTAGTTTTCACCTTTTTTTTTTTTTTTAAAATGTGGTCTGGTCGTGACCTCGCCTCCCATTTTGTCTTCTCCTCCTCCCCCCGTCCCCCGTCCAGGAACCGGGCCCGGCCAAAGTGACGGTGACCGGCGGCAGAGACGGAGACGGCATCCCTCGCCTGCCCGGCGGCACCGCCGACGCCGAGCGTGTCCTGCCGGAGTCGGGCCACCGCGCCCCGCAGCCCAAGCGGCGCCTCGTTTCTCGCCCGGCCGGGCCGGAGCCAAACCGACCCCGCCGGCGCCGCTCAAGATGGTCAGCGCGATTGCCGTACGCTTTCGAATCGCGGCGGACCCCGCGGGGGCGGGCGGGATGCCAACTTGATGTCCTTGACTTCCAGACGGTGGCGCTACGAGCGCTGGACGCAAAGTGCGAGTGGAGAGCGCTTACTTTTCCCCGGAGAAGACAAAGTCCGAGCCCTCTCCGAAACCTGCGCAGAATCCCCCTGCGCCCCGGCAACCGGCCCCGTCCTCGTCGACATCGTCCTCTTCCGCAGGAGCCCCCGGGCGCGCTTGCGAAGCCAAAGCCCGCCCCCTGCCCCCGGGAACCCTCGCCCGCCCCGGCCACGCCGCCGTCGCTTCCTCCCGGCCCTCCCCGGACCGCCAACCCGACGACGGGACGCCCTACCGGGAGGGCCGCCGCGCGGCGGGGAGAGGGAGCGCGGCGAGTGCGACTCGCGGAGGAGCCGGAGCGGCTGCTTCGGACGGGCGGCCCGCGGCGCGCGGGACGACCTCCCGCGAAACCTTCGCTTCGCGGGAAAAGCTGCAAGACCTCGGAGCGCGCACGCAGAGTCCCGGACGTGAAGAGGTGGCCCGGCTGTTCGGGGAGGAGCGCAGGTGAGCGTGGACGGGTGCCGCTCTTTGCCGTCGCAATTATCAGACGGCGGTGGCGGCGAGTCGCTCCAGGTCCTCTCGCGGGAATTTAGCGCTTTGCTTGGAATTTTCGGTTTTCCAGAGTGACTTGTGTCTCAAGCTCCAACACGCACGTGGACGGAGCCTCTCGCCACGATGGCCGTTGTCGCTGCAGAAAACTTGTCTTCTTTTTTTAACCAAGTCTGCAAGCATGCTAGTCCGAGCATTGATTTTTCGAGCTGGAATTCTGTCGGGAGATAGTCGTTCTTTTCACGAAACGTAGTTCACAGCATGCCGCTTTGTTCCGCTTGATTTTCACTGATCAGAGCAACCGTCTTCTGTCCGTCGCAGACGTTGGCGAGTCATCGGCCGATTTGAGGAAGGTCCAAATGCGGAGCGAACCGACACGAGCGGCTGCGGCGAACCGTCGTCGGACGTCAACGATGCGCGGCGACGAGGCCGCCGCGGCGAGGGACGTCGTCTCTCCGACAGATGCGTACGCGCGTCTCTGAAGTCAAACGGTCCAAGAATATTTCCCGCACGTCACCGGGGGCTCGTCCTAAGACGTCGGTGTCGCTCTAGGACGCGTCGTCGGACGCGGGACAGGAGCGCCGGGTCCCGGATGCGTCCGGCTCCGCTTTTGCAAACTCGCCACGAGCCAAGTCACCGGACCGCGGAGTCACCGAGTCCGCGATGACGGTGAGTCTCTGCGGCGTTTCTCCCGTCCGCGTGCTCGAACCTCGCGGCGGTTCGCCGTCGCAACCGAAGGCAACCCAAATTGGACGTGAGCCGCGCCGCGCCGATCTGTCGCCGCGGGGGAACGCGGCCCGACGCTCGGCTCGCTTCCCTTCCGCTGCGCGCCCGCGTTCAAACGTGGAAACGGTCGTGACCGGCGAAAACGGGCTGCGCGTTTCTCGGCCCGGTTGGCCGACGCGGGCTCGTCCAAAAATCGCAATGTGGCCAAAAATTATTGATTTGTTTCAGTCACGTATTTCAAAAAGCGCCACTTGTTGAACGCGTCCTTTCATTCCACAGCGACGGATCCGGTCCGAGTGTTCGGTCGTTTGAATGGAGAGGATTCGATCTCAAAACTCGTGAGGCAAAACCCCGCATTGGGACTCCTCTAAATTCGAAGCGATGAACACTTGACACGTATCCGTCCGTGTGCAATGAATGGATGCGAGTTTCACCTTTTGAATCGTACGACTGAAACAAAAGACCTTTTTCACGCGAGTTGCATTCTTTGGACGAGCTGCGGTCTGCTGTTCATCCCATCGTCAAGGCATCGGCGGAGCGTTCGTTTGTTCCATGAAATCTTGGGACGTGCGCGCGGGTGTTGCCGGGCAACATTGAATTCCTCTGGCATTTAAGGGCCGCGCGCGGTTATGTTTCATTGGACACCCGCCCCACCGCCCCCCCGACGGACCTAGAAAGTTGGAGGAGCCTTTCTCTGTTGCCCCTGACTCAGCCCGTTGCCTCATTCCACGTGTGAAAGTCCGCTTAGCTGCCGCCGGTGGGATTAAAGAGGCAAGCCGCTTAAGGCCGCCAAGGCGTCCCCCTCTTGCGCGTCAGCAGACGAGCGCCGACGCGTGTGCTCATCGTCGGCCGCGCTCGATTCCTGCCATTGAGACGCAGCTGCCAGCAGCCCCGCGCGCCCGCCCACCGCGCCGCCGCGACTGCTGCTGCTGTTTTATAAATAGCCAACACGGTGGCAGTTACAGCCGGGAGCCGCGTTGCCCCCCCGAGCCGGAGGGAGAGCAGCGGATTGTCAACACATGAAGTCCGGGCAAATAGGCGTCGCCATGACTCTCTGCCAGACGGCGACTCGGCCGAAGCCAAACCAAAACGAGGTACGCCGCGGTGCGCGTCGCGTAGACGGTGGACACCATGGCGCGCTTTTGATGCGCGGCGGTCGGCCTCCCGATCGCTCGTCGCGTTTTGGCGCCTCCGCCGACCCGGCTCAGGCGGCCAACTGAAAGTCCCCCGCACCCGCACCCGCGCGAAGCGCTCGAGCGTCAAGTGGATTCCGTTGGCCGGGGTCGCGCGTACAAGGGCTCTTGCGTCACGCGCCCGTCTTAACCCGCGGCGTCTTAACCCGCGGCGCAACGAGCGGCCGATTGGGGATTTCGAGCGGGTGGCGCTGATGGAACGACTCTTTGTGTCGCTTGCAGCCTGATCCGCTCAACTTGAAAAAAGGCTGGATGACCAAGCTGGACCAAGATGGAACGGTAACGCCCCCGATGTCACGCCCGCTTCGTCCCCCGCGCCGTCTCGTCGGTACGCGTGGCGAACTGCCCAATTGTGACGTCGCTCTCTTCCCCCCGCCGCCGACAGTGGAAGAAACATTGGTTTGTTCTCACGGCCCGGAGTCTGCGCTTCTACAAAGACTCGCTGGCCGAAGAGGTGACCAGTCTCTCCGCGTGTCCCTATGACGTTTCCTTTTGTACGTGCGTGCGCGCGGTGGGTTTTCCACGCGTCTTGCGCTCTTTCCTTGCAGGCCTCAGAAGCGGACGGCGAGATCCATCTTTCCACGTGTTGCGACGTCCAAGAGTTCCCCGTCCAGAGGAATTACGGCTTCCGAATCCTGGTCAGTGTCGCTTGCGTCGTTGAACGGGATCGAACCGACGCGCTGCGGGGCGGGCGGGCCGGGCCGTCTGTCGCCGGTCTATAAACGGCTTTCGACGCCGCGCGGCGCAACTTGAGCTGCGGGCTTTTGCCGTTTCTCTTTTTGAAGCGATTCTCGGTCTGTCACGAGGGACGCCGCTCGACTCGCCGCCCGGCGTTGACGTCGGCGTCTAAATCTGCCGCCGTGGTCACGAGCCGCGCCGCCCGCTCCCGCGCGCTTGTGAGCCGTGTCCGTTGTGTCGTCAGTGTCAAGGAGGCGCGTGCACCCTGTCGGCCATGACCTCCGGAATCCGCCGCAACTGGATCCAGGCCATCACGAAGAACGCTCGAGCCGCCGTCGCCCCCGACGTCACTCGGTAATGCCCAAAGAGAATCGCCGCTTGACCGCGCTGGCAGATACGCAACGCAACGCTTCTTTTTTTTGAACTTAATGCCTCTCTCCTCCTTACCCTGTGCCTCCTCCTCCCCCTTCCTCCTACCCGCAACCGGGTTTACAACCTCCTGCCAGGAAAAACCTCTCACTGAAACTATCCGTTCTGAAGCCGAGGTTGTTGTGTGTTGGATATTTGCCCCCCAATTCCTTTGCCTTCTTCCTCAAAAAGCCCCGGAGTGTCTGACCCGCCATGCTTGTCGTCTCGTCCTGCGTCATATGCCGTCGAGTCGCGTCTCCTTGCGGCTTGGGTCAAGTCGAACCCGACGCTCGTCCACTCGACGAACCGGAGTAACCCCGCCCGAGCCGCGTGATCGGCGGCAACTAACTTGCCCCCGTTCAGATGGAAACCTTGCGCGTCTGTCTGTCGTGTTCAACATGCCGCGATTGTCTCCGATTCCGCGTCGCCAGGACGGACCTTCCGACTGGCGTCGATGCGCTCGCATGGTCTCTCTTTGCTCGACGCCTCCGAGGTGGGGAATGTTTGCGCCTTTGTGCGTCGACACTCTCCCGCCTCAGAGGGCTCCCCCACCTCATCGTTGAGCGCCGCTCTTCCTCACTGAGCCCTCCTAACGCCGCGCGACGGTCGTGCGCAACTAGATGAATCGATTGCGCCACTTGAAAAAAGGGCCGTGCCCGACAATTGAAAGGACGGCGCTCCATCCGGTGCGCCGCCGTCGAAATGGCGCAAACGTAGCGGCTGAGAGAAGGCGTCTGCCGTCGGCCTTTTTTGAGCTTGCGTCTCCACGCTAAAGCTGCTTTCAGCCCAACGCATTGTGTGTGGATTCCCATGTGTGTGTGTGTGTGAGTGTGTGTGTCTTGCAGAAAGCCAATTGAATGATGCCTCACTGTCGGCACCGAGTGTCGGCGACGCTTCCTCGGATGTAAAGTGAGGTGTGTTTTTCTTCCTTCAGGTCCGTCGCCGAGGCGAATCCCAAAGGGCGGGCGACGCCGGAGCCGCGTCGACGGGTCCGGCCCGAGCCGAGCCCCCGTCCCGAGCCCCCCGACGCCGACGGCCACGGGCGGCCGACGGGCAACGGGGCCTCCGCCCCGCCTTGGGAACCCCGCGAAAGCGGGCTTGGTGAGCGCCGCCCAAAGACCCTCGACCGGTCGGAGTTCCAAATGGACAAGACGGGCGAGCCGGCGAAGGAGCGGGCGGACGCCGTCGACCGCAGCCCGTCGCTTTCCGCCACCGCGTCCCGCCGCTCCTCATCGTCATCCTCCCCCGTCCCGACCTCGGCCCCGCCGTCCCCTCGCGTACAGACAGAAGATGACGCGAGCCGACCGCCGAATGGCGTTCTCCCGAAGTCTCCCGCGCGGCCGTCCTTACTGGAAAGCCCGGAGCGAGGAGGAATGGAAGTCGACCGCCCCGCGGCTCGGCGCGACGTCGAGGGAGAGACGTTCGGCGTCTCGTCGAGCGCGAAAGAGGAGATTGAGCGGCGGTGGCTCCAGGTGGAGACGACGCCGCTGAGGGAAGAGAAGCGAGTGCCCATCGGCGCGTCTTCGGAGAACTCCGACGCCGACGGACTGCCGGCGCAGCGGCTGGCCGCGCCGTTCCACGAAGAGGTACGGTATGTCGGACAACCGCGTCCGCTCCGAAGAAACGTCGGCTGACGTTCGGAGTGCCTCTTTAGGTCGCTTTTGAAAGCTCACCCGATGGGCCGCCAGCCTTCCCTTTTTGTGGCCGCTGTCCAACTTGAAAGTGTCTCAATGGAGTTTGTCCATTTCTTCTTCTCCCCCCCCCAGTTGGGACAGAAGCAAGAAGTGTTGGAGCAGCTTCAGAGACGGAACGGTCTGTTGCAGGAGCGGCTGGAAGATGCGCTGGGAAGAGAACAACGTGCCAGAGATGGCTACGTCCTGCAAGTGAGTCGAATTGCCGACCCCGCGGCGTCGCGGTCAAGAAATGTCCGGCTTTGCTTTTGCAGTCTGCGTCTGTCGTGCGGCCGACGGAACCCGCGTGGAATTCTACTCACTGCTGCGGGTTGTGATATGCCTGCTTGGGGCGTTGAGCGTGCCTTTCTTTGTTGCTTCTGGAGTTTCACATCTCCGGGGAAAAGAACTGATCCGGACCCAAAGGCTTGATCAAAAGGGCCTTGCGCTGTGCTTTTGAATTCATCTGCGCTTTGTTGCTGTGTCCATCTCTGCCTGTTGTGGGGGCTCTCTGGCTCTTTTGCTGGTCTTTTAGAGTCAATCCTTGAGCGAATGGCCCTTTAGGATTGAAGCGCATGCATCATTGCTTTGTTTCATCACCTCACAAAAATGTCCCATTCTTTACCACATTCGTCACCCCCTTTTTTGACTGTCGGTTCTGGGCTTAGCTTGTGTGTGTGTGTGTGTGTGTTTTTTCATGCCAGCCCTGAAAAAGCACAGTGGAAGCTTTGGAGGAAAATAAGCAAAGTTGATTGGCGTTGAGAGACTTGGGATGTGGTTCTCCGTATCATACGGGGGAAGTGAAGCGGCGCGACTAATCAGGCTTGTTTCATCAATGTCGTTAAAGAGTGCAACGGCGCCTTCCTCCTCACCGCGCAGCGTGCCGCGGCAACACTCGCACAAGCGGAACCGCGACTCGCGAAGTGCATCGGGATCCCCGCAACGCGAGCAAGTCCTCGCCCGGCAGCAGATCGGAACGCTTGAAAGCAACTCCGCCGAAGCCGAGACCGCTCCGGACCGCCACGAGGCCGATGCGGAAGCCCCGGGGTCGAGGCCGGCGTCCGCGTCGGCGGAAATCTTAGCGAGCGAGCGAGCCGTGGCTCGTCTGCGCGACGAACTCCAGTCGGAGCGACACCCATCAAAAGAGCGAGAGGAGGAATACGGACGCGCCGAAGCCACCTTGCGAGCCCGGCTAAAGGACGGCCAAAGTCGACTCCGCGAGGCGGAGGCCGGCCTTTCGGCCGGGGACATCCGGAGGCTACGGGAAAGACTCCGAGAGGTGACCGCGCCCCCGCTCGCTACCAAAGAAGGTCAGGCGCCGACGGAGCAACGCTTGAGAAAAGAGCAGCGCGGCCTCCGAGAGAGTCACGAGAGGGAAAGGCAAAGTCCGCGTCGGAGAACGGCCGAAGCCGAGGCCGAGCGCAAGCGAACGGAGGCCGGCCTACTGGAGGCCAAAGGGCAGGCGGAGGCCCCGCTCGGAGGGCGGCGGGGCCCGGCCGCAAGAGAGCGCGGCGAGGAATGGCTCCAGGCGCGGCGAGAGCCCGGCCGAAAAAGCGACACCTCGGAGGCCCCGGCGGAGAGCGTGCGCACGCTCCAAGAAGAGAAGGGGCCGCTCGCGCGGCGTCGCCGGGAGCTCCTCCACCAGATTGCGCCGGCCGATCGGGAGGTCGGCGAGCTTTGCGGTCGCCTCCAAACGCCAGAGGCCGACGATCGCTCTGTGGAAAGCTCGTACGAGAGGGCCACCCGCGACTTTCACAGAGTGAGCCGATTCCTCAGGGAGAAGGAGGAAGAGAGCCTTCGCACCGAGGCGACGTACCGAAGCCTGCTGGCAAGCAAAGAGGAGGACTTGAAAGAAGCTCTTGTCAAAATGAGCGCGCTCGGCAACAGCTTGGAGGAAACGGAACGCAAGCTGCGAGCCAAGGAGGACCTCCTTTCTCAAACCGGTCGACGTCTGTCGGACCAAGTCGGGGCCGCCGCCGCCGCCGAACAAAATCTAAAAGCCGAGCTGGCGGCGGCAGAGAAGCGCCTTGCCGAGCTCCAGCGCCGCCTCGACGCTCCGCGGCCGGGATGCGCCCGCCCGCGCTCGGAGAGGGAGCCGGGGCGGCGTCCAACCTCGGCGGCTTTCGCTTCAGACGGAGAGTCCCCGCTGTCGTTCGGCGCCGCGTCGGGAACGGAAGACTCCGCGGACGACGACCAGTCTCGAGCGAAGCCAACCGCGATCCCCTTTTCCAATGCTCGGCGCCACGCGCGTCACGACCCGGGCGATCGGCGTTCCTTCGTCGATGCGAGAAACCGGCCGGACTTCGACCTAGCCGAAGCGCTTACCTGCGCCGAGCGTGCCGGCGACCCCGACGAGTTTATCTCCGTCGTACGCGCTCTCGAAACAAAACTGCTCGCTACCGAGGAAAAGCTCAAAAGCCTCACTCGGACTCTACGGGAGCATCGTCAAACGCGCGCGTCCGATCAAGATCCGACGACGGTCGCGAACGAGCCCGGCCGATGCGAAAGCGCGCCACGGATGGCGGCGGGAACCGCCGCTTACGCCGAGGCCCTCCTTTGCGTGGAGACGAGTCGCCAGAAAGTCGAGGCTTTCTTGTCCGGCTCTCACGCCGGCGCGCGGCTTCGCTCCTTGTCAGAGGTCCGACACGAACTGTTGCGCGCGTCGGCGTGCATCCGCCGCGGACAAAAGACCTCGGAGGAGCAATCGCCCCGTCGCCCCGCAACTCAAACGTCGGAACTTTTCCAGCCAGAAGCGCTTCCTCTCTTTGCCCAAACCCTCTCGTTTGAGGCTCTCCTTTTGGATAAAATGGCTTTGCTCGCGCGCACGTCGGAGTCCGACCTCCTCCTCCAAACGCTGACCGCGATACGGGAAGATGTCGAGAAGATCCAAAGCGCCGACGACGATCGTTTGGCAGTCGTTTACGCCGATGTCCTGACCAGAAAGTTGATGTTCGAGACGGCGTGCTGGGAAGAGCCGGAGCGAGAGGCGACGCCCCGCGGGGGGGGTTCAAACGTTGCCACGTCGCCAGAGGCCGACGCGAGAGCAGAGGCGGGCGTGAACGGCCCCGCTATATTTCACGCCTTAGTCAAAGCAGAACTGTCCTACTCCCTTCGGAACCTGAGGCTCGGCTACGAAGAGAAATTGCGGCTGCTCGAAGGGGAGCTGGCAGAAGCCCGCCGCGAGCTCTCTCAAAGGGAAGCGGCCTCGCGAGCGATCACCGACGCGTCCGAGAGGGCGCGTTTGAAAAGCGCCGTCCGAGAAGCCAAAGCCGACCCCCGCTCGGGCCGACCGACGTCGGCCGCCGTCTGCCCGCCCGAACTGGCGCCGTACGCGGAGCGGATTGAATCGCAAGAAGCCCGCGATCTGGCCGAAAAAGTGGTGGAGCGGCGATTGGCTGACAAAATGCCACCTGGCGCCGTCGACCCTGCCGAGTCTCTTCCAAGTGCGCGTGAGAGCCTGGCCGTCGAGCTTCAGCGACAGGCGGCCGAGCTCCGCGAGTACGCCCAGGAAATCCGGAGCGCCGGCAGCCGTCCTGAACTCGCTCAAACCCTCGATGCCGTTTCGGGCCCCCGGGCGTGCCGTCCTTTCACAAGCGCGTCCCTTTGTATGCGGGAAGCCCTCGTCCAGTCCCAGGTAGCTTACGTGGCGTGCCGATTACGAGCCGCGCACAAACGCGAGGAGAACGGGGCTCTCGAGAGTGAAATGGGCCGACGTTTGGACAGACTCGCGCAACGGCAAGAGCGGCCGGCCCTCCCGGGGGAGCGTTTTCGCATGCCGGTCGAGGAGCTGAAGCGGGAGCGCCGGGAAGAGTCTCGCGCCGCAACGCGGCCGGCTCTCTCGGAAGGCGCCGCGGACGGCCGGCAAAACCCGGAGGAGGATCCGCCGGCGGATGCGGACGCCGTGAAGGAGCGGCGCCGGAATCGCGTGAAAAAACTCAAGGACGACTTTGAGCGGCAAATCGCCGAGATTGGCCGCGGTGACCGCCCGGTGGCCTCGTCGCCGACGCAAGCGGGGGAACGGCGGGCCGCGGCGCTTCTGCAGGACAGGATCCGCCAGCTGGAGGCTCAGATCAACGCCTTGAGGGACCAACTGGACAACGAGCGCCTGCGAGGCGACCCGGCCGGCCAGAGGGTCAAACACCAGAGAGACTTGGAAAGGCTGAAGGTTTTTGGTTTTCACTCTTCCACTACCAATCTCATCTCGTCAGCGATGCTCAGTAGAAAGAGGAACGCGGTCGTTTTTGAGCAACGGTGTTTTGGAATAGTTCAACGGCGTGACTTCTTCAGTTCGTAGAGAAAGGCCGCTCGTCTTTTTGCACTTGGAACACTGAAACGACGTATCGCAACCTTGGTGCGATTGACTCAAATATTCTGTGCTTCGTTACTTTGGTAAAGCACACAAACGCGTCGGTTCAAAAGTCACCGCCCACCGCCGTTATTGCCATCCCCGCTCAAGATGTGTTCTCACTTCACATCGTTTGGGTTTTTTTTTTGGATTGATGTTTAACCTTGAACCCAAGAGCATTAATTCAGTGGGCAAAGAAATCCCACATTCAGAAATCATGATGTGACATGACAACTCGTGTGCCACACTGATGAGCAAGCCCGCCCGCCCTACTGCAAATTCCTTCTTTCATCCTCGTTTGCCAATTGAACAGCGCCACCTTTTCTCCCAGAATCTTTCACAAATTCGAAGAAGACCCCCCCCCCCGCCCCCCCAAAAAAAAAAACAAAAAAAAACCCCAAGGGTCTCTTTGCGCAGTCTCTGTCATCCAGCCGCCGGCGTTTTCAATGGGGTTTTGCGTTCTGGAAAGGCGAGTGGCGTGCGAGGCGCTCCATTCTGTGCCCGGGGAACCGTTTGCACAATTTTCAGTGTGACGGCGTGCTTCTGCGAGACAACTTGAAGTTCGATTCAGGCTTTGAACACATCTTAACCGGGCTTGCCAATAATTCCGGAGGCCGCCGGATCAGTCGAGAAATGTCAAATACAAGCTACGAGAGAAGACGAGCTCCTCGATCATTTGTTGAAGGCGATTGAACCATTTCCCACTAACGCGAATTAGTGCGCTGTGAATTTAACCGCCTGCGCCGACTCGCTCCAACCTAACTCGAGCGCTCTTCAACCGGCAAAGCTCGGCTTGAGGCGTTTTGCTCCCGGTGCGCTCGCATGACCGCATTTCGCCCATCGATGTACATGCGGCGCAGTGCGGCAAACGGACGAAGCGTTAGAATTGAGCAACGCGGCTGTTTTTGCAACTCGACCGTCTCTTTGGCCAGGCCGCGTGCGAGCGTGGCTTCGCGGCGATGGAAGAAACCCACCGCAAGGTGGTGGAAGACCTCCAGCGGCAGCACCAGAGAGAGATTTCCAACCTGACGGAGGAGCGCGAGAGACTCCTGGCCGAGGAGACGGCCGCCACCGTTGCCGGTACGTCGGCTCTTCGCGCCGCTCGTTTCCTGAGCGTGTCGAGGGCGTTGCCTCCAAATGAAGAAACTGTGCCATCTCTCCTTTTGACACGCAGCCATCGAAGCGATGAAGAATGCGCACAAGGAGGAACTGGAGAAGAACCGGCGCTCCCAGCTCAGCGGACTCGACGCCGATATCGATCAACTTGGACTACAATACCGGTACGTTTTCAAGTAGCAGAGGTGGGACCAGTTCAAAAACAGTGTCGGCGTTCCAAAAGCATCATTGCATAAGTTTGGTTTTTTTGTGGCTGTCAGTATTAGGTGGGACTGTGATAACATATCCGATTAATTTCAAGGTCCGCTTCCCGTGTGTTTTTTTTTTATTTTATTTTAATTAAAAGAAGCAATATCCGGTTCGTGATGCACAAGTGTTTTGGTCTAAAATGAAAACAAAGGAAAGAGCGTTGATCCGTACTTTGCGTCAAGTCTTCAGTTTTAGCCGAGCGAGTTCCAAGTCTCGGGAGTTGGCGGCTCGAGTCACGTGACTCGAGCGCCACGTCGCCGCCCGGTCGCGTGTTAAAATGGCTCTCGCGCGCTCTCCAGGGAGGAGCTGCAGTCCATCCAGAGGGAGCTGGAGGTTTTGTCCGAGCAGTATTCTCAGAAATGTCTGGAGAACGCCCACCTGGCTCAGGCCCTGGAGGCCGAGCGGCAGGCCCTCGGGCGGTGTCGGCGACAGAACCGGGAGCTCGACGCTCACAACCAGGTTTGCGCGTTGACACGCGAGGGGGAGGGCTCGCGCTTTCCGCTCCCTCAACTCGCCGCGCTTCCCGCAGGAATTAAATGGCCGCCTGAGTGCGGAGATCGCACGCATGCGCTCGTGTCTCAGCGGGGAGACGGCGCTGTCCGCCGTGACGCCGGGCAAAGATGTCTACGAGCTGGAGGTGGGTAGCGGCCTGCCGCGCGGCAGCGGCAAAAAAAATCGCCCGCTGGGCCGCGGCTTACTCTGTCCTCTCCGGTCCCCTCGAAGGTGCTGCTGCGCGTCAAGGAGTCCGAGATTCAGTATCTGAAACAGGAAATCCACTCTTTGAAGGACGAGCTGCAGGCGGCTCTGAGGGTGAGTGAATGCGTTCGCGCGGAGGTCGCTTGCGGGATCACCGCTCGGGCTAATGTGCCGCGGCAACAGGACAAGAAGTACGCCGCGGACAAACATAAAGACATCTACGCCGAGCTGAGCATCGTCAAAGCCAAAGCCGACTGCGACGTCGGCAAACTGAAGGAGAAACTCCACATCGCCACCCAAGCGTTGGGCGACGGGACCGTTTCGTCCGGATACGGTAAATCTTGATCCTTCCGCTCAACTGTATTTTGGAGAGCGCTTTGAGGCCACCGCCACCGCCGTGAGCGGATGGCATCCGTCGCTTGTCCCGCTTACGCTCGTTTCACGTCGGTGCCGTGGGTCCTCGCTCGAGAACAAGCTTTGAGGTTCCGCTTTGTCGGTAAGGGTTCAACAAAGGTCACCTTGTGCTCCTTGTCCTCGTAGACCTCATGAAATCCAAAAGTAACCCCGACTTCATGAAAAAAGAACAGACGACGACCTCCGAGCCATCCAGAAGTGTCAGGTCAAAGGCAAGTTTCAAGCATGTCTTTGTGTCCTCCGGGTAGAAGCCGTCGACTCCGTTTGCTTTTCAACTTGCTGTCGAGTCGCGCGTATTTGTCATGCGTGTGTTTTGTCCACCAGTCTGTGACTGAACAGGTCTCGTGGGACAGCTGACGCTCCGTGTGTGTGTGTGTGTGTGTGTGTGTGTGTGTGTGTGTGTGTGTGTGTGTGTGTGTCTTAAGCCCTCCCCGAGATGCGCCGTAGGTATTTGCCAGTTGTTGTGACAAAGCATCCTTTGCAAGACCTCACCTCCTTTCTGCCTTGCCTTGTGTGTTGTATTTTGGTGCACTCACCCCCCGGTGAGCTAAGTGTAGAAAATGCGAAAAGGCTGACGGCCCAAGCTTCAGAGATATATATATATATATATATATATATATCATTGAAGACTTTTTGTTTTCTTACTGACACGCCAATTTGTCCATCTTAAAACTCAAATGTGGACTTTGCGCACATTGTCATCATGACTTTTTGTTCCACTTTGATATCCTGTTTTCCTATCTCCTGACATACTGAGCTTTTCTTTTCAGCGTGGCCGTAAGAGTCCTCAGTTTGTCAGTCCGATGATGTATTTTTTTTTTTTTTTTTAATGATGTCCCTGCAGTGGCGTGCAGAGCACAGTGGATGCCCGCGGGAACCGGCCAATTGAAGGAAAACTAATTTGTTGACAATTGAAATGTGATTTTGAAACCCTAAAGCTGTTGAAAACTTAGATTTGAACGTCCAAAGCAAGTTGAAAACTCTCCTTTGAAATGGCGTGCGGTTGCGTCGGATGGGAGTTTCTTCCTTGTCCCTCAGTCCGTAAGGCCGTAAATCGCCAATCGGGCTGCCATGCTGTGGGTGTCCCGAGCCGCAGCCGTGTTGTCCCCGCTCTCTGCACGCCTCTGCATCCCTCCCAAACCACTTCCTGTTTTGAATGCTTTTTCTGCCATTTATTCACGTTCCTGTGTTGTCTTTGGCAGAGCCTGAAAGAAGGACTGACCGTTCAAGAGCACATGAAGCTGTTTCAGGCAAAAGAATCCGAAAAAATCTGAATGCCAACAGCCCAGAAGCTTTTCTCTCTCTCTCTCTCTCTCTCTCTCTCGCTCTCGCTTGCTCCCCCCCACCACGCCCAACTTCATACTTGATGTAGAACAGGTGAGAGCCAAGGGTCCATGCAAGACCCTTGGCTTCCTTGAACACAATTTTTTGGGGTGGGGGCGGGGGGGGGCATGTTGACTGTTTTACTGGACTGAAAGAAGTTCTATAGATAAAATGGATTGAACGTGTCTTTGAAATTGGAGACGTGTTAGATAATCTGCGAGGAGGATACGTGACAGCATTTTTTATCGTCCCACATGCCAAATAGATAACATGTTCACAATCTGAATTTTTTTTTTCCTGATCAGAAATATTTGTCTGCTGTAGTTCATTGTTTCAATTTCTATATGGAATGATTTGAATGTGTATGATGTACACAACTACTGGACATGCAGTCTGTAGGCGCATGGTAGGTTATTTTCTTGGTGCATCTGCTGTACTATCAACTCAAGTCTGACTCTTGGAATTTGGGATGTTTACGTGAGATGATTATTATTTTTTTTAATGGCGGGTGGTTTTCCAGTCTATCATGATTTTCAAATACTGCGGTGCAACCGAACCTGGTGATTGGCCGATGCTTCGGTCTGTCATTTTTCTTTATTTCGATTTTGTATGACAAATACACGTTCGGACTTAACATGATGATATTGAACACGCCGCCTCGTTTTCCTATTTAGTGCGGAACTCTGCTACCATACCATTTGCGAGTCCTACTGCTTCACCGTGACTGTGAGCTGCAAGTCCCCGAAGCATTCGGTCCGACCCCTGCACTCTCGCTTGCCTTCTAGTTGTGCCTCAACACAGTGGAAAAAGACAAACCACTTGTAATCAAATCAAATATATATTTAAAAGAAAAAAACTGCAGCTATGGAAACACACTGTATTTTGAATCGAATTGAATACAACTTTTATTGTCAAATGTGCTGTACGTATGTGTAACATAGAGCACAGTATAGTATTCAAAACACTTTGAAAATTGTGTACGTGCGTGTGAGTGCCACATGGAACACTTGTGCTCTTGTTTTAGTGCTATATGAAATGTATATGAATATTTTTTTGTTTTCATTTGAATGCACAAAATGAAATAAATATTTTGGGGGAAAAAAAAAGTCAATATTGATCTTGTTCGCTGTCTTCTCACGGGGCTTCAGAGGAATTTGGGAGGAAATGTTTCTCGGTCACAACAGCGTGCCGGAGGTAGTCATGTCCAGTAATGTACTGTTGAAGGAATCCAAAATGAAGCCTGAGGCAAGATAGTTTGTACCCCGCCTACTGCCCGAAGACAGCTGGGATAGGCTCCAGCAAGCCCCGCGACTCTTGTGAGGATATAGCAGTTCAGAAAACGGATGAAAAAAGAAAAAAAAAAATCAACACGAGCACCTCAAAAATGTGTCTCCCTACGGTGGACAGGCCGCGCCATTGCAATTTGTGTTTTTGAGACGTCATTTCTATTGTAAATTGCATTATTTATAAAAAACAAAACAAAACAAAAAAAAACGTGTTTTGTTGAAAGCACATGCGTGTACTTCGCCAATGAAAACGAGGGAACGAAATGATCGAATGAACGAATTACCGCGACTGCATGACTCTGGTCGTCCAGTTTTGAGTGATTATGTAAAAGAATGGATTTTGTTGCTCTGAGGTCATCTTATCTCTGCTGCCTATGCTCTGCAAGTACCCTTTGCCATCTTCCCCCACCCCCATTTTCACCGGATCAGTTTGAACATTTATGTTTCGCGGGGCTCAAGTTCTGGGCTGTGATGCCGGGTGTTTATGAAACGGAAGCCCGGGTGCAATTTGAGCGCGAACTGGTTGTGTTCAGACCGAACTAACTGCTAAACGTGGATGGATGAGCGCGTGGCGGATGCATCGAATGGTTAGGTGGCTAATAGGTATGTCATATATAGATTTTTTTCCTTTGCCTTGATGTGTTTAAATGCGAAAATAAGTCAGACAGTTGGTCTGCTCTGTCATGAAGTTTGGATTGGATGAAAGCGTTTATCAAAGCACCCGGGACTGACTCTTGGGGTCGCTGTAGCTGCCGGGCCCCTGCTGTGGCGTCTTCCTCTTGGCGCCGTCACGTCATCTCTGCGGTTTTCGAGGGACGTCAAACGTAAGCGTCTCTTCTCGAGCGGGCGTGTTTTTTCTTTCCTTCCCTTTTAAAAGCCCTTTCACTAGTTCAGTCCGGGTGTCTGTGTTACGCGGGCTCTTCCGTTCTGGGCTATGATGAGGTGTGTTAGTCAAACGTAAGGTCGAGTGTAATTTCGGAGAGCCCTGGTCGTGTTTAGCCGTAGAGCTAACGGTTAACGTGCATTGATGTGTCGTAAAGTGGCTAATGCGTATGTCAAATTGTTTTGTTGCTTTGATGCGTTTGAATGCGAAGAAAACGTCAGACAGTTGGCGTACTCCGCCATTAACGTTGTGTTGGACGACACAGCCGATCAAATCACCCGTGATTGCTGGGATCGATGTAGTTTGGCGTTTTCCGGTTGGCGCTGTCATCTAATCGCTCTTCGCGTTCTCAGCTGCGTTCACGCTGCTTTCAAGTGACGTCAAACGTAAGACTTCTCTCCTCTTGCTTGTTTCTTTTTCCTTTCGACGCGTGTTTTGACTGGTTCAGTCTGGATTTCTGTGCTATGCGGGCTATTCTGTTCTGTGATGCGGTGTGGTGTTTAAACGGAAGCCAGAGTGTAATTCGGCCGCGCTGCGCTTCTGTTTAGCCGTTGAGCTAACGTGGACGGATGAACACATGGCGGGGCGCACCGAATGAGTATGTCAAACAATTGTTTTGCTTTGATGTGTTTCAATGCAAAGAAAACGTCAGACAGTTGGGGTACTCCGCCATTAACGTTGTGTTGGATGACACAGCCGATCAAATCAACCGTGAGTCCTGGGCTCAATTTAGTTCCGGCCCCCTCGGTTAGCGTTTTCCGGTTTGCGCTGTCATTTAATGCTCTTCCGAGTTCTCAGCTGCGTTCACGTTGCTTTCAAGTGACGTCAAACGTAAGACTTCTCTCTTGCTTGTTTGTTTCTTGCTTTTTTTTTAACTTCTTTTTACGAGTTCAATCTGGGCTTCTGTGGTATGCGGGCTCTTCCGCTCTGGGCTGTGATACGGTTTGGCATTTAAAGGGAAGCTAAAGTGTCAAGCGGCCGCGGCCATTTTGTGACGGGCAAACGTTTGGGATAACTTGAAGGAGCGCGTGGCGGAGCGCGCCGGATGGCTACGTGGCCGACGAGTATGTCAAATATATTTATTTGCTTTGATGTGTCTCAGTGCGACGCGAAAAGGTCACAAAGCTGGCGTACTCCGCCATTAACTTTGTATTGGATGGAATAGCTAATGAAAGCACCCGGGACTCCCTGGGGCGGCTGTTGTTGCCGGCCACTCAATCGTAAGGATCTCATCTGCGTGGTTTTCCTTTTGAAATGCGCTTTCACCTGTTAAGTCTGGATTGCTTTGCTACGCGGGCTGCTTCGTTTTGGGCTGTGAATGTAAGGATCTCATCTGCGTGGTTTTCCTTTTGAAATGCGCTTTCACCTGTTAAGTCTGGATTGCTTTGCTACGCGGGCTGCTTCGTTTTGGGCTGTGATGCGGTGTGCTCATCAAACGTAAGGCCGAGTGTAATTTGGGCTCGCCCTGATTGCATTTAGCCGTCGAGCTAACGGCTAACCTGGATGGGTGAGCACATGGAGCGTGCGAATGGTTTACTGGCTTGTCATCTAACCACGGCTCGATCTCCGCGGTTGTCAGGGGACGTCGAACCTAAGCATCTCTCATCCGCTTGGTTTTTTTATTTCTTTTTAAATGCGTTTTCGCTGCTTCAGTCGGATTTCTGTGCTATGCGGGCTCTGTTCTGGGCTCTGATGCGGTATGCTCATCAAACGTAAGGCCGAGTGTAATTTGTGTTCGCCTTGGTTGTTTAACCATTGAGCTAACGGCTAACATGGATGCATGAGCAATAGCGCACGGAATGCTGGTGGCTAATGGGCATGTCAAATGTTGTAGCTTTGATGTGTGTGAAGAAAAGAAAATCATAAAGTTGGCGTACTCCGCCATTAACTTTGTATTGGATGATAGTGTATCAAAGCACCCCAAGCTCCTGCTGTAATTGCGGGGCCTCGAAGGTTTCTGGTTGCCGCTGTCACCTAATCGCAGCACATTGCCGTGTTGTTCAGGCGACGTCAAAGGTAAACATCTCTTTTCTCATCTGCTTAATTTTTATTTTTCCCTTTGAAATGCGTTTTCACTGGATCCGTCTGGATTGCTTAGCGACACGCGGGCTCTTCTGTTCTGGGCTGTAATGCTCATCAAATGTAAGGCCAAGTGTAGTTTGGCCGTGCCCTGGTTGGTTTTTCACCATTGAGCTAACGTTAGGGCTAATGTGGATGGAAGAGCATGTGGCGAAATGCATGTTACATTGCTAATGAGTGTCAAATAATTTTGTCGCTTTGATGCATTTAAATGTGAAGAAAAAGTCCGTTTCTGTACTCCATTAACCTTGTATTGGATGCAAGAGTGAAATAAAACACTTTGGACTCCTGGGGTCTCTTTTGCTGAACCCCAAACCTGTATTCTTTGAGAAGGTTGCAGTGACCAACTCTGACCAGCAGAGGGCAGCTATCGCCGCTTGCCGTGCAGAGCTAAAGGGGGCTCTCGTATTTCAAGGTGAAGAAGCCTTACCCCCAAACCTAACACTAGTCCTCGAACCCATAGATGTCAAACTCAAGTCCTGGAGGGTCGCTGTCCTGCACGTTTTCCAACTCTCCCTGTTGCAACATACCCAATTCAAACGATCAGATCATCAGCAAGCTCTGTGGAAGCCTGATATTGAACCTGTTCATTTGAATCAGGTGTCTTGTAACAGGGAGAGATGGAAAACATGCAGCATAGTGGCGCTTTAGAACTGGAATTGCCCACCCCTGTTCTAACCTCAATTTTTTTCGTCAACAGATGCTACAGCTTCTTGTTTCTTCCCAAGCTATGGTTGCAGAAGAAGTGTGGAACGTTATGAACACTTTGAGCATGACGTCTCTGATCCACTGGTCAAAGGACACTTGGATTTTCTTTCGATACCTGCTTCAAACAAGGCTGATGCAGGTATAGTGGTAACAATTGCATGACTGTTGATGTGTTGTTTCACGACCATATTTTGTAATTTCATGTGAATCGCCTGAAAAGTGCTTTCAGATGCAGCTGTTATGAAAGCAGTAACTATAAATAAATAACAATATATTGCATAACTTCTAACATTAACCCCCACTTCTAACGCCCCACTCTATACTCAAATCCTACTCTGAACCCAAGCGCCAAACCCCTTAACCTGCATTCTTTCAGAAGGTTGCAGTGACAAATTCTGACCAGCTAGGGGTGCTATTGCTGCTTGTGCACCACTAAAGGGGCTCTCCGATTTTGGAGCGAAGAACCCTAACCAAACTCTGTACGCTAATCCAACTAAACCTCTAAACCAAGCCCTAACACGCACCCCTGACCCTTATTCTAACTCTAACCCTCAGCATAATCTCAAAATTTATCTAACCTCTATTCCTAACCCTATTACTTGACCCAATACTGAAACCCATCCCCAATCCTCAAACCCAAACCCTAAACCCCGTAACACTCTAACCCCGAATGCCAAAATACCTAACTCGAACAGTCAAACCATAAATGCATAACCGCCTTAACCCATAACGCCGAACATCTTAACTGTCGACCCGCCTTACGCTTACTGCCTAATCCCAACTCGAACCTTAACCTGTTAGCCTTACTCTAACCTCCGATCCCAAACCTGATTCTAACATGAAACCCTAACCACCGAACTCACCCTCTCACTCCCAAAACCAGGGGTGTCCAAACTCTGGCATCAAGGACCGCTGTCCGGCCGATTTTTCCAGCTCACACAGGAGCAACACGCCTGATTCAAATAATCAGGATTGTTCTAATGCTGGCTGATGAGCTGATCATCTGAATCCGGTGAGTTGCACCCATCAGAGTCGGAAAACAGGCAGGAAGGTGGCCCTCAAGCCCCGGAGCTGGACATGCCTACCCTAAGACCCCAAATCCTCATGCTGAACCCCAACACCTGACCTTGAACCTCGAATCATTTTTTGTAAGAGGGCGCCACAATTTCTTGTATACTTCCAAACTTGCAGCAGACATGTGGGAAGTCAATTTGGAGCATGATGTCTCCGATCCATCGATGAAAGGAGATGTTAATTTTCTCCTCTTCCATCGATAAGTGCTCCAAACAAGGCATATTCAGACTTGGTTGTTGTGATTGCACGACAGTCCATGTCTTGTGTGTCGTGTTATATTACTGTAATTTATGTTCACTGTTCTGTGGAGCGCTTTGTTTTCGCTGCAGCTGTTGTGAAAGCTCGACGTAAATAACGATGTACCACATCCAGTCCTCAGCCCACTATGAACTTTTAATCCTACTCCGAACATGAACCACCCCAACTTCGAACACCCTTGACCTGTTTTCTTTCAGGTTGCAGTGACTAAGTTTGACCAGCAGAGGGCAGCTATCACTGCTTGCCGTGCAGGGCCAAAGGGGCTCTCACATTTTACAGTGAAGAACCCTAACCTAACGCCGAAGCCTAAACTCCGTAACCCGAACCCCTGACCCAATTCTGATCCTTAACCCCAATCGTTGGACCCTAACACCTAACCCCCTAACACTCGTACATCACCTTCAACATCGACGTGAGTGGAAGATGGATAACCGTGTGATTTTTTTTTTTTTAACAAGTTTTCCTTGAACAGGGTTTCACCATAAAGAACAAATTCACAGCAGCACAAGGTATGTTGATGTTCACTTGATTCAAGTTACTTCACAAAAAACAAGATTTTTGTTGTGCCAGGTCCAAAGAGGACACGATAGCTGATCTCTGGAGGATGATTTGGGAGCAGAAGGTGTCGACTGTTGTCATGTTGGCGCACCTGAAGGAGAGGAAGGAAGTGAGTGGTTGTCATGTAGCAAAACGGGTGGAAAAACGCCGGCGTAAAAGGCGCTTCTGATCCCCACAATCCTCCCAAAAATTTCATTCGGGTCGGACCCTCATTTTCTTCAGTTAGATCTAAAATTCCTTTCCATTGCAAGTGGCAAGAGAAGAATGGAGGAATAGTCAAAGCGATGGTGGAGAATTAACATTCCAAGGGCTCTGAAATTGCCATTTGAAACAAAATGAAAGATGTCCATTGCCATGAAGGACGTGTGACCAGTACTGGCCGGATCAGGGCTGCTGGACCTAAGGGAATGCGCGTGGCAGTGGAGGACTCCGCCGTGCTGGTGCATTACACCATACGCAAGTTCTACATCCAACACATCAGAAGCATCGAATGGCTCGTTCTGTGCAACGCTTGCCACTCCAACACTTTATATTCATCTCGTAGCAATCCAGCGATGCCGGCAAGATGCCACGTGTGGTCACGCCGCTCCATTTCGCCAGCTGGCCCTTCTCTCCCATCGGCATGCTCAAGTTCCCCAAGAAAGTCAAAGGCGCCCAATCCGCCCTTTGCGTCCATTGTGGTCCACTGCAGGTACACTAAAGGAATCGCGCTTCAAAATATCTTTCTGGCTAATGTTAAGAATATAGCTGATGTAACTACATGATGAGCTCTGTACAACCCAATAATAAAGCAAGAAATCGTTACATTCGTAACTGACAGCAATAAACCAAAGTTGACATGCCTGATGTTTACCCCACCCCCAGCGCCAGCGTTGGTCAGACAGGCAGGTTCATCGTGATTGTTGGGATGATGGACAAGATGCACGCCGGGCAGGAAGTGGACGTGTTTGGCTTCGTTTGGAAATCCGAGAGCAGTGTCTGCAGCTCTTCCAGACGGACGTGAGTCGGGGAATTGCCCCAAAACCTCGCTTTGTACATACAGTGTGGTAAATTCACACAAACGGTCCTGGTTCCTTTCTGTCTTGCAGATGCATTATTTGTTCATCTACCAGGCGCCAAAATGCGTAACTCTTAACGGCCTAAACATAATCGCTTAATTGCCAAACCGACTAATGCTTGTTGTGTTATGACTATTTGTGATTGATGTGAACTGTTCTGTAAAGCGCTTTGTTTCAGCTGCAAGTGTTGTGAACTAAAGATGTATCACCTCCGAACCTAACACCACCCCAAACACTCAACCTAACCTCAATCCTACACTTTATCCTACCCCCAACTCCAACCTATGACACCTCAAACGTGTATTCTTTAGGTTTGCAGTGACTTAACTGATCACATTTCAGAATTACCCCGAACCCTCTCACCGTTCCTCTAACCTAAACCATAGCCCAACTTTAAACACTAAACCCTAACCCTTGCATCCTTCTAAAAGCGTCGAAACACCAAACCCAAACCGCCTGTATGCCGAACCCGAACAGCCTAAATGCGTCATCGCCTAACCGTAACCCGAACACCTGACTATCCTCTTAAACAAAGTCCCTCAAACCCTTACTCTGAACGCCTAACCTTTAATGCCTATACATCTAACCACCTAACCCAAGATGCCTATCTGCCTCACCCTAATTTCTAACCCCAATCTCAAACCTCGAGCGCTAACCCTGAACATCGTACCTTCACCTCAACCATAAACCCCTAACACTGTCAACCCTCTAACTTTTAACCCTTAATCCTACCCCTAACCACTTTAACCATATTCCAAATGCTAACTCTAAACCTCAACCTGAATCCTAATTTCCCTTTACCCTCAAACCCAGGGGTGTCCAAACTCGGTCCTCAAGGGGTGCTGTCCTGCCTGTTTTCCAGCTCTCCCAGGAGCAACACGCCTGATTCAAATAATCAGGATCGTTGGAATGCTGCTTCAGAGATGGCTGATGAGCTGATCATCTGAATCAGGTGTGTTGCAGTCGGGAGAGGTGGAAAACGGCCAGGACAGCACCCCTTGAGCACTGAGTTTGGACACCCCTGGGTTTCAGGGTAAAGGGAAATTAGGATTAAGGTTAAAATTTTGAGTTGGCATTTGGGATATGGTTAAGGTGGTGAAGGGTAGGATTAAGGGTTAAAAGTTACGAGGGTTGACGGTGTTAAAAGGCGTTTGCGGTTGAGGTGAGGGTATGATGTTTAGGGTTAGCACTTGAGGTTAGAAGTTAGGGTGAGGCAGATAAGGCATCTTGGGTTAGGTGGTTAGATGTATAGGCATTAAGGGTTAGGCATTCAGACTAAGGGTTCGAGGGGTTTTGTTCAAGAGGATAGTCCGGTGTTAGGGTTAGGGTTAGGCGATGACACATTTAGGCTGTTCGGGTTCGGCATCCAGGCGGTTTGGGTTTGGTGTTTCAACGCTTTTAGAAGGATGGGGGGGTTAGGGTTTAGTGTTTTAAAGTTGGGCTATGGTTTAGGTTAGAGGAACAGTGAGAGGGTTCGAGGTCATTCTGAAATGTGATCAGTTAGTCACCGCAACCCGAAAGAATACACGTTTGGGGTGTTGTCAATTGGAGTCTAACCCTAACCCCAATCTCAAACCTTGAGCTGTAACCCTGAACATCGTACCCTCACCTCAACCATAAACCCCTAATGTCAACCCTCTAACTTTTAACTCCTAATCCTACCCCTAACCACTTGAACAACATCCAAAATGCTCACTAAACTTTAACCTTAATCCTAATTTCCCTTTACCCTGAAACCCAGGGGTGTCCGAACTCGGTCCTCAAGGGCTGCTGTCCTGCCTGTTTTCCAGCTCTCCCACGAGCAACACATCTGATTCAAATAATCAGGATCGTTGTAATGCTGCTTCAAAGATGGCTGATGAGCTGATCATCTGAATCTGGTGTGTTGCAACGGGGAGAGATGGAATGCATGCAGGATAGCGGCCCTTGAAGAACAAGTTTGGACACCCCTACCCTACTTTATCCCTAATCCCCTCACCCAATCCCAAAATTAACCCCCAACGTAAACCATAACCCCTGAACCACCTACACATAACACCTAAAACCTTAAATCTTCTGACCTCTCACCCCAAATCCAACTCCTAGCGCAAACCCTAAACCTTCATCCGAATTCTCGATAACCTTCCAACCACAAATACCTAATCACTTAAGGAAAACTGCCTAACTGCCGAAACACCCAATCCGAACACCTGACCCTCCTCTTTTAACACCTAACCCTCGAACCTGATTCTTTGAACCCTCGCACTGAACTTCAAAACACCTTACCACCTAACCCAAGCATCCTAACGGCCTAACCCTTACCCTGAATCCTACCTTATCTGAACCCCAAACCCGACTCTTAAACCCTAACCCCACTGATGACTCCTAACACAAATGCCTAACCTCAAACTCCTACCCTAACCTCTCACAGCTCACCCTCTAACCCAAAGGCTTAACTGCCTAGATGACTGCCTAATTTCTAAATCCAACTCATAACATTAAACCCAAACCTGCTTAATCCAACCTTTAACGCTGACTTTCTCACACCCAACCCTATCCCCCCAACTACCTAACACTTAACCCTAACCCGCTCACCAAATTCCAAATCCAGGTGCTTGTTCTTTGCACCCGTAATGAGCATTTTTCACAGGCCTGGTTTATTTAGTGGAGATGACAGTGCTGTTGCACAGTCTGCGCTGGTGCGGATGGATGGCTTGTGGAGCTGAGGATGAGGCGAGAGGAGCGTCAGTGCTGACCGTCGATGCATATTTGGAATTGAGAGCTGCATCTTGGAATTGAAACGAATTTACGGTACAGAAGTGAACCAGTCTTTTTTTCGTCAATGGATGGTACAGCTTCTTGTTTACTTTCAAACTTGGCTTGTTGCAGATGTGTGCACATATTGAGCATAACTTCTCTGATCCACTGATGAGATGACACGATGGCTCTTTCATCTAGAACTGCTTGAAACAACGGATATGCAGGAGAACTGTCTCCAATTGCATGACTGTCCGTGTTTTATGTGATGTATATTTTGTTGATTAATGTTAGATGTTTATCCTGATGTAAAGAAACCCGCCTTGGGGCTACAGGTGAAAACCAGCATTTAGAAGTATGCCGCATTTCCGCTGTTTATTCTTGTTGATGAATGTGCACTGTTCCAATAAAATAATAAATCTTGAACCCAACTCGGAATGCTAACCTCCTCACAACCCCTAACACTAACCCTGTACCCTCACTACTAACCTAAACCAAAACCCTCAAATCGCCGACCCTAAACTCCCCTGAACCCTAACCTCTATAATCCTTAACCCAATGTTAAATCCTCTAACCCTAACAGCTAATGCTCCCCTTAACCTGACAAATCTTGCGAACCTGAACCCAATTCCCCTCTAACCAAAACTGCATAAGCGCCAAAATGCTGAAACCAAACCGCTGAAAGGCACTCACCACCGAACCCAAACACCTGACCCTCCT